AGTTTTGTGAGACAAAGGTTTTCTTATGAGGGGGGGAAGAGGAGACTGGTGTCTAAGAATAAAGGCAATGGTAGGTGGAGGTGAGTGTGCAATAGGGGAAGAAGGGGTGCAACGTTTAGTCTGTCTGCTGTGGATATTGCGGGGAGGGAGAGGGGATGGTGTTGGAACTGTAGTTGAAATTGGAGCTGTAGTTGAGATTGAAGTGTCTGGATTTAGAGTGGCAAAAGAATTTGACTGGGGGTAGAATGTAGAAGTGGAAGTGGGGAACTAAGTAGGTATAGGGGAGGGTGTAGGAACATCTTGGGGTGGAGGGAGAGGGTCAGAGCGAGCAACATTACTAGCGTAGGGAGTATGAGAGAAACCTTGTCGGTGTGCTTCCTGTCTGGCTTCACATAGAGTAAGACCATCTTTGTATCTGAGAGTTGCTACCTCAGACTCAAACTTGTAAGTCAGACAGCTTCTATAAAATACATTATGGGGGCCGCTGCAGTTAGCAAATGTTCGTGTTTGTGCAGAGCAGTTTGATCAGTTATGACCGGGTTGGGCACATAGGGGGCATCAGTCTGTGGAACGGCAGTGTTTGGCAGGATGTCCAAAGTGCTAACAGTTTTGACATTGACAGGGAGGAGGTTGGTATGGTTGACCAGGGAGGGATTGTCCACCAAGGTAGATACGGAAGGGAAGGTCATGTGTACAGAATGTAATTTTGGCAATGTTGGTGGGTTTCTTTCAATGACCTCTAGGAGAAATAGTGTAGCAATGTACTGATATCACACGATGGTCCTTGAGGCTGCCGAGTAAGTATTCTTCACAATCTGACCAATCGATATCCATAGGGTGGCTTGCTGAGGAGATAGACATGGTTCCGGTACGAGTATTAATATTTGGATGAGGTTCTGCAGGAATGGGGTTGCCAGAGAGATTTGTTATTGATAATGCTATAGCTTCGCTTTCAGATGTGACTGTTACAAGATGGGAACGATCGGGTTGGGTATGGAAAGGGACTCTGCCCACTTGCTTTTGGAGGCATTGTTGAAAGAGAAGAGTGTTGCCCGAGTAAGGAGCTGTAGGGGGATCACGAAAAATTGGTCTAATTTAGCTGGGCTAAATAGAGTATTTAAGATATTTGTAGGGTTGGTGGTGGTAGAAAGACATGGAGGTGTGGAAGAGGGAGTGTTGTTGAGAGGGGTAGTATTACTGAGAGATGGAGAATAAGACTGTAAGGTAGTATGTTTGATGAAGAAAAGTTGTAGGGTAGAGGTGATGAAGTTGAGGAAGTTCGGAGAGTAGGAATGTCTTCTGGAGATTGAGTTTCGGCTTGGGTGGGTAATGCACTAGTAGGCATTGAGGAGTGGGTATGAGAGTTTTCAGTGTTCAGAGTTGTGGTCAAAGGAGGCCCTGGGGTTGGGGAGCTGAGAGAGATTGAAGTGGTGGGGCTATATGATGGAGGGGCAAGCCTCATTGCCTCTAATATGGGTATTACAACTTCATTACTGGCTATGGGAAACCTTGACTATGTTGGGGAAATAAACAGTCCACCCCTCAGGGTCCCCTTGAGGGGTAAGGGCTAAGCAACTAAAAGAGGGGAATACCATGCCCATGGTTCCCTCAAGCCGTTCAGGACTGGCACAGAATCAACCTTTCATCCTTTCAGCATGGCTCTTACATCTTAGGAAGTAGATAGTAGAAGGGGTTGGAGAAGGGACAGAAACAAAAAAGCTAGAGGGAGAAAAGGCCATGCAAAATTAGTTGAGCCAAGGGCTGAGGGGAGATCCTTGCATTGGCTCTCAGGCTCCGTCCCCTAAGCCCCCCCCACGACAACAACGGGCAAGGGATTAGGGGGGTGCTGGTAATGAAGATAGTACTGATATTTTAATGATGGTAGTGTTAACATACTGATGTAGCCTGTAGTTCTGATTTCATCACAATACTATTAGTTTAATTTCAACCTTAAACCTTTGACAGTTAAATTATTCCATATATTTTTCTTACTGCAGTTTGTTTGTCTAAATGAAAAATGCTTATTTAATGTTAATATGAAACACTTGTTAATAAACACAAAATTGAAACTGTATTCCCTCTCTCTCAAATTTGTTACTCTGTAAATAGATCTTCAATTTCCTGTAACATGAAATGAACACAAACTGAAATTGGCAACATTTTATTGAAGAAAACTGCACATCAGGCCCTCAGCCAAAATACTGTTTATATTAACTACATCCATTTAGATGCAAATAAATGGCAAAGCGTATCACATCACATAACGTATCAGCCTGGGTTATGCTTCAATACAAGTTATACACTTTTAATATCGTCAGCTAATTCTATCAAAATATACCAATATCGCTGTGATTTTTTCCCCTCCCTCACACACATCCTCTAATGCAATAACTGAGTTGGATCCTCTGCAATTAATTATAATGTTTGGTACATGTGGCAGAAGACCTACTTCGGTTGTCTTTTCTTTGTATTATCATCATATATAGTTTTGAATGAAATGAACAAAGAAATATTTGCAATTACCTCAAAATATGGAATTAAATGAATTAAATACCAGTAAATTAAAGTAGATGAATCAAGTGCTACATTTCTCAACATTTACTAAAAGAATTCTCTGAGAAAGCTGGAATATCAGTGATCAATTTTCGAAAATCCGCACACACACAAAGTGAATAAATCTTTAATGCACACACTATTCAGGTCAATAATCTTTCAACAAGTATGCAATTTTGAAATCCTGGTGCACGTTCACTTGCAAGGCCAAACTCATTAATCACCGTAAATCAATCGTTGATAAAAAAAAAAATATATATATATGAAAATAATCATAATCAACTCACTAGTGACGGTACAATTTCGAGCCGAAAATAATATTTTCCGGGCGGCTTCAAAATCAGGTGACAAAATCAGAACACAAGCTCTGATTTAACATTGCACCGGCGGGATGCCCGGGAATGTTTACTTTTCCGGGTGTCTCATATGTGCGACACCTGTCGTAAGTGGGTTAATATAAAATAAAAAATCTTATTAATGAATATTGATTACATGTCTTTGTTTATAAAGAAATATTGCAATGCAATGTTAACTGAAGACAGTCCTGGAGTTGATGTGAAGAAATGAACAAGGATATGGTACACAAAACTTTTTATACATGAAAAATATTCAATGTTGTGCTAAGATAAATCAATTAAATCTGCAGCATTGTTATTACAATTTTTTTATTATTTTAATTCATTTATTATCGTTCTCAAGATCTTGGTTTCTCTACAGACAACTTTGCAAATGTAAAGAAAACATCAAATTTCCAATAAATTTGAGTCTATAATCTGAAACCATAATCATAATAGAAAAAATAAAAAGGTAATAAAAAAAAAAAGCTATAGTAATAATACAGGAACTGTTAATGAATACTAACAGAGTGTACTTTGTAAAGTCTTGTTGCTTCAGTATCACACATCTGGAGGCGAGTTTGAAAATGCATATTTCAACTTCATTCATGAACTGATGTAACCAGACACACACGCAGTTTCACAAACATGCAAGCACATAAAAGATAAAAAAAAAAAAAACTTGTCCCATATTGCCTGACTTTAAAATTTGAAAAAAAAAGCAAAAAGAGAGAGAAAGTCATGACATACTCAAACTTAAGAGGACACACTGTAAATAAATAGTAAAAATAATAACCAACCCACTGATTTATCTAGAAAGCAAAATCCACCAGATATCTAGTAAAATGTTTTTTTCAAACTGCTGGCATCAATACCATAAATTACCTAAAATGCTTGGAAAGTCTACTTTGGCTTTATAAAAAAAAGAGAAACAGAAACAATGAAAAAAAAAAAAAAAAAGAAAAAAAAAAAAAGAAATGTGGTTTTCAAGTAAAAGTATCTCTTAGTACATATAACGAACTTAGTACAAATTATAGCAAGAAAAAATCTTTTGTTAAAGAGTTTACCAAGTAACAAGAGGTCACAACCAATATCTAGCTCTGTGCAAAGTAAGCTAATGCACACTGACATTCTTTTCGGAAAATGGATACTCATGCCTTTGAATATCACATGCCAAAACAGTGATATAAATAATACAAATTCTTATCTTATTATGAATCATTAGGACATAACTCATATTTCATATATTCCTTGTCTCCTAAAACCAATATGTACAAAGATGTACAGTGCGTGTATATGGGACTGCCAGAACATATTTCCATCAAAAAATATTAACATTACACATTTACATACATACAGCATATTAGTATATATATATATATATTTCTGAAATCTACCACAATGTTATATACGTTTTTTCATATATATTGGCTGCTTTTCTAGTTTCTTCCCCAATAGGCTAAAGTCAATACTGATGACCATTTTCTTCCATGCAGTAACTGCCATACTGAGAAAATAGACTCTGACCAGTTCACAAAAAGTACATTGCATGACAAGTTCATTATTTTACAATAACTTTGGAAGGCGATTCTTTAATAATATTACGAGGTAATTACGGCATTTACATTTTTATTGATCAGACTAGTGTCTTGTATAAACATAACAAAATTGGTTAGAAAAAAATATAATAAAAAAAAATAAAAAAAAAAAAATAAATAAAAATAAATTAACGTCCTTCAGCTCAGTGTTGAAGTACAATCATCAATTCATCTTGCTTGGGAATCACAGGTCTCAAAATTGATTCATTGTAATTTTGAGCTCTTTGACAAAACAATTTTGGGTTTTACATTATATTAATAAATGTACTGGGACATCATTACTGGTTTCATAAATGTACAAACAAAGGTCAAAGGGATTTTTATTGAAGTCCTGATATACATACTAACATAATACGCATATGCGCTTCTGAGTGTATTTGTGTGTCTGTGTATGTATATGCAAGTCTCTATCAGTGTCAGTACCTGTCTGTCTGTCTGTTTAAGTGTATGTGTGTGCCAAGACACCTAAACATACACACATTTACACATCATATATATATATATATGCATATGTGTGTATAAATAACCATACCTCCTAAAGACTAACATCATTTTCCCTCCTGCAACACTAACCTTTCCCTTTTTGTACAAAATATAACAGCTGCTTATAATAATATATAACATTTTCATTTTCTAGGTACAGATATGTCCTTATTGGCTAACATTTTTATTGTTTGCTTCTTTCAATTCCTTTCTCATCTAAACATCTTTCTTTATTTGTTTCTTCTTTCCAGCAGTCAGTGAAGATTCACAACCAGTGTGACCCACTTAAAAAGAACACCCTCACTGCACCTCCATTGACCCAAACAGATCAAGTCAAGTGCCCTCAAATTTGCATAATAATTAAAGCAACACATCATTTTACATTACAGAAGAATATTTGTGTGCTCAACAATCATATCAAATACTTTCTTAGACTCCTAAGTTTGGCAAAAGATTCTTCAAGGAGAAAGAAATGGTAAAGGGTAAGTGAGAGATGAACAGAGAGGGAAAAAACAGGAAAATAGAAAGAGAGAGAAGGGGAGGGAGAGAAAAGAAGAAAGGAAGGAAAAAAGGAAAGGGAGGAATGGAAGACTGAATAAGAGGATTTAAAGTAAGGGATAATTAGTGAGAGAATCAGATTCATGAAAAACACAACACAAGACAGAGAGGAAGTCAAGGAGAAAGACAGAAAGCAAAGAGAATGAAAAAGAGAGGAGAGAGAAAAAAAGAGAAAAATGAGAAAGATTCAAAAGAAAGACAGCCAAACACAAAAGACAGCAGTGACCTGACAGAGTAGAGAGAGAGCCCCACCCCTGCTGCCTAAAAACTAAGCCTTCTCACTTCCCAACTCCCTCTCTCCACTCACTCCTCACTCCACAGTCACTTCTTCCAAGAGTTTGCGGCAGTTGTCATCAAGGTCCTGTGCCAGCGTCATGATGGTGGTCACATCGGTGCTCTGCTGCAGCCGTTTCATCTGCTGCCCGAGGAACACTCGCAGCGAGATGGTGTGAACTGGATCTTCTTGCGCGATAGCCTGCCGCCGCACAACATGCTCCGTCTCCAGCTCAAATGGCTCAGGTGACCCTAACCGGCCCCCTATAACAACCTGAAATTAAGAAAAAAATTTCAATAAAAAGGATGAAGGAGGAGAGAGGGGAGGGAGAAGGGAGAAAAAGGGAGAGGTGTGAAGAGTTAGGGTGGAAGGGAGGAGGAGGAGGAGGAAGGAGTAGGGCAAGGAAGGAAGGAAGAGGGAGAGGGGTGAAGAGTTAGGGTGGAAGGGAGAAGGAGGAGGAGAAAGGAGTAGGGCAAAGGAGGAAGGAAGAGGGAGAGGGGTGAAGAGTTAGGGTGGAAGGAAGGAGGAGGAGGAAGGGTGGGCAAGGAAGGAAGGAAGAGGGAGAGGGGTGAAGAGTTAGGGTGGAAGGGAGGAGGAGGAGGAAAGAGTGGGGCAAGGAAGGAAGGAAGAGGGAGAGGGGTGAAGAGTTAGGGAGGTAGGGAGCAAGGAGGGGTGATAGAATGTGTAATTTTGGCAAAAGTGACAACAGCTATCAAAGAGGAAGACAGCAAAAACAGAAGGATATGAAGGATTAAAAGGTTTGATATATAGGCAATGGGAGAGAGGAAGTAGTGAAGGTGGGAATAACAAAGGGAAATGAAAAAGAAAATTAAGAGATGATACAAAAACTAATACTGCTACTACTTTTACAAGTTATAAGGAAAACAGAAGTTAAATAACAATAATAATAATAATGAAAGTAGGAGTATATGAGAAGCATAATGACAAGAACAATAACAACTCTAAATGCCTTTATACTGACCAGCTTGTCCTGCGTGGAGTCCTCCATGGTAACATCGAACACCACCTCCGATACGGCTGTCACAGCATGTGGCCACACCTTGAGAACTGGGGGCCAGCCAGTGCCACAAAGGTAGGCCAAGCCCAAGGCACAGAGCTTGCGCCGCTCTTCAGGGGATGTCAGGGCCAGCTTGTCCGACCATATGCTCACTACACGTTCCAACACCTCCTCTGGAGTCTTGGATTGGTCGCCAGCAACCTGTTTGTTTATTCAAAACCTATGAGAACACTTGGAAAAATACTCACCAGGAATATAAACAATTACTCCCTAACACATCCCATACCAAGTAAAAGACAAAAATAAACTCAAACTCACCTGGTTTATGGCCCAAGTGAAGATGGGTTCTGCATAAAGGACCAGCCTTGCTATGACAGACAGATACATCCCCATCACCATTGGGTACTGATCCCCATCTGCAACCACCTTCACAAACCCTGGGATCAGAGGCTGGACCAGGTTGGCCCCCTCCACTGGCAGGACGCGCATTATCATCTCCACTGATCGCAGGACCAGGACAGTGCCTTCGCTCTTCATGTCCGTCAGCATTGAACTGAAGCTTTCAATCAGCCGGGATCCATACCTTGCAACAGCAACATTTCATATTAGTACACTATTGAATGTCATCAATGACTTGCAGAGTAAATCTTGAAACAAAAATCCCCTATATTTTGCCCTCATGCCTTGGAAAAAGTAATGTTATATACATTTGTATTTGATCACTACTGTGCAGCTCTTTTTAATCTAATACATAAATATACTGAGATATTAAATCCACAGAACATTAATATACAGACAAACAAACTTACTTTGAAAGGAACTGCTGAGGGCAGAGTAGTGTGTAAGCCGTTGTGATCTGCAAGCAAAGTCTCAAGTTCTCTGACGAAATCTCCATAAGAGGTAGCATGTTGTCGAACAACTGAAGAAGAGCATCATGAGGCGTTGCTGTATTCTCAAGGGTGGTCAGCCAAAGTAACAGACCATCCTCAAGCAAGTACACATGACAGTCTTCCCGGACATCAGTCGATATGCGAATAATGTTGATCAAGAATTCATGCAGGCCTTCACTTTCACGCTGAAAAGAAAAATAGATTACAAAAGTTACAAAATGAAAATAACAATAGGATGCTACTTTGGGCTAAACTGAACTAAATCAGGCAACTGACTTACAAGCAAACAATCAAAAACTGAACTGATATTTTGAAAAATAGAGACAACAAAATCCCCTCCTTACCTTCATAACACTCATCAAGCCCTATCTACCCACATATGCTCAGAGGAAAAAGAATATAAACAAGAAGAAAACACCAACCATTAATCCAGTAACCATATGTACAAGTGTGGTGAGAATGGCACATCGAAGCATGTTGTGGTCGGCAGATTCATCCCAAAGCCCTGGGAGGTACTGGGCTAAGGGGGCTGCGTGTGGCTGGATGCCAACACCAACAACCTCAATCATGAAGGACATTACATGAAGGACCTGAAATACATAGAATTATGGATTAATAAAATGCTCAACTTCATGACATTCTTATAATCATGATCACCAAAGGAAAATACAGGGAAAAAGAAAAAGAAAAATCAAATGATACCCACAGAAGAATTTAAAGTATATCGGGTATGACATCAATATCAACGACTATCATAAAATCAAATGATACCCACAGAAGAATTTAATGTATATCGGGTATGACATCAATATCAACGACTATTATATCAATACCTATATCAGTATCTATATTCTGACCTGCATTTTGGTATCACATTCATGTGCCTCTTTGAGAAGGTTGAACAAGAGCCCAAAAATAGTTGGGAGGTATGGCATGAACTTTTCAGGGTCGAACTCAAAGTCATCTACAGAATGCTTCAGAGTCATGGCTGCGCTGAGGCGGACCACAAAGTCTTCCTCGGATGACAGGAGGTGGATGCAGGCCTCATACAAAGTGGGCCGGTGCTCAGGCGAGAACTTGACACTGGTCCACTGGCCAATGAGCCAGATGACACGGCGCCGGATGATGCGGTAGTTGGAGTCTTTGACCTTGAGTTCGTTGATGAGTGAGGAGGTGAACCACTGGTCAAAGTCGATGTCATCAAATAGCTCAAAAGCCGCCAAGCCCACTGCATTATACACAGCATCCTTTTGGAGGATCCCATGGTAGTCACTCGGCTCAACGGGCTTGTGGGAAGACCGGACCATGTCCATCAGCACAGCCGTGAGTGCGCTTCTATACTCATGGAACAAGGATACAAATAAGGTCTCTGTGCAGGGCCTCAAGCTGTACTTCCAGGACTCCCCTCCCTCCACCTCCATGCAAAAACCTTCCGGGTCAGAATCCCAGGCCTCCAAGTCATCCTGTGTCAGAAGGAAGTAGTGTGAGATAAGTTTGTGGCACATCTCTGCCAACACAGTGTTGGTGAAGAACTCAGACTTGATCCTGAATGCCTCCAGTGTCTGTGGGTCCTTGGTGTCTTCAATGACCTTGCATGGCTTGTACTCTGGGCACAGCAAGATGGTCTTGATCAGGTTCAGGCACTGGACAGTAAATCGTTCGAAGATCAGTCCCTCCCCAGCTGGTGTGAACACATAGTACGTCGTTAGGTCTAAACTTGGCTTTATAAACTGGAGATAGGAAAAGGGGTAATTTTCTAGCATATCCAATAACACTTTGGTTAGGAGAACCACGTATTTCCCGCCAATAGTCTTTATATGTTCATTATTTTCGTGCTGTTTCCTGAAGTCAAGCATCACTTTGATACGATCAAATACTGCTTCTACAAACATGGTAGCATCTGGATTCTCATGAGGCTTCTTAAACCCATGGATAAGTAATTTCCGAAGAATTTTCAGAGATAGGTGTGACCGCTCCAAGCAGGGGACCATGACCTCATTGTTCTGCCCGGAAGCCACAAGGAAAGCCTCTGTCTCTGATCTCCATAACTCTAGCAGGAATGTAAACATCTGGCTTGTCAGCTCCTGTAAGGCACAACAATGGTCATGAGAATTCCTTAACATGCAAATGGAAACAAACCAAGTGCAAGCAATACACATCAAAAGGCAATTCACAAAACGATTCCACTCACCTGAAACGTCCTTCTATCAGCTGCTAGCCTTTTGGATGCAAGTTGCTTAATAACATGATGCAGAGTGAGAAGCGTTCTGTGCTGCACCAACTGGTCGGAACTTTTAACTGCTTCAAAGAGTGCAGGCAGCAGGTCTGGCCACTCTCTTGGACAATCCACCCTGGCAATCTTGGCTATGAGAACTGCCAGCTGTGTGGCAACTTGCGGCACAGGTTCTCGAAGGTTGTGTAAAAGCCCACATCTTATGCGAGCCTGGAATAAAATTTGAAAGGGTACAATAACTTTAAAATAAAAACAGTATTATAAGTAAATATTCAGTTAAAATATATTTACATGTAGAAAAAAACACTATTCTCAGCCAATGAGACCCAAAGACACAAATAATTATCCTTCTATTGCAATCAAATGCATCCCTACCTTTTCTTCTTCTGTAATTGCTTTGGGAGCCGTTTTCCTCCAATATCTATCAACGCCATTCTTGAAATACAACACAGCTAACCATCGGACATTCACTTCTAAGCTGTGTTCCGAAAAGATCTGTAACAAAGAAAAAAGAATCTTTTAAAGATCCTGGTCCTTTCTTTACTAAAGCAATAGCATTACAATCATACTGCATAATACAAATTTTTTTGGGGGGAAAAAAGGGACTAAATTAAGATTTTATGACAACATTTGGTGTACTGCTTGATGATTACAGGTAAGGCTAAACAAATGAATACAGAAACTGTTTAGTACACAAAACATACAGCAGGTTCAACTGTATATGGCCTAGATACTTACTGTCATTTTATCATGGCAACAATAAGTGCCATTTACTTTAATAGGTTAATGCCACTGAATATACTGTACATCATACAAATTTACAATGAGAGAGCAAATTATTCGGAATAGTCTGATTAGCTATCTCTTGTACACTTCTGCACAAGAGACAATCTAATATTATACTTTTATATGTATGGAAACAAAAGGGGGAAAAAAAATCTGTGACAAAAATGTTTAGAAAGCCAAACCCTTACGAAGACAGGAATGAAATAGCTTGTTCATCTCTTCTTTTTTTTGCTCTAGCAACCTTTTGAAAGAGGCTTCTATATTTCTTTTTCATCTTGTTTTACCATTTATCTTTTTTACTTACTTTACTTACTTTACAGAACAAGATTCAAGATGGACACAATAAGCTGCCCTACAAAAGATAATGAACAAGTATTTCAGAAGCATAAAATATCAGTTCCAATTTCTGTCCCAACAGTGATTCTAAGAAGAGAAATACTGTGAAATGTAATCTGGCAGATCAATAGATATATATACACCCACAAATGATATCAAATAGTGAGGTATATATCTTAAAGGAAACCCTGTGCAGCTTCTTGTTTACTTCACTAAAACTACAGATTTACTGACAGTTGTTGTAGCAATTTTAGTTTTGGAACGTATTCTATATTTTGGCAGTACTTCCATTTAACTACATTTGTTAAATTTATATATCTTCCTGAAAATGTATTTGACATAATTTCTAGTTCCTTTTGGCTTCTGCAGTTTTAAAAAATCTTTATTTTCATTTTTTGCCCAACTGGTTGATGGTCTGATCCACAGTCTATATAACATTCATACTTTTTGCATTAGTAATACCATTCCTGTATTTATCATATTTTATGTTAACGCTTATCAGGTCTTGTATATGTCGACAGACCTTTCCAAACATGTATGTAATACCATTAATATGTGTACTATACAAAATTTACTAATCTGTCATCCTTATCATCCCAATCAACAAATACCATGTGGTCATCTAAACATGATTTCTTTCAAATTCCCTTTTATCATAATTGCCTATAGCTAGCTGATCGGAGAACTCCCTACATTTCTTTACTTTTTTCCTCTGTTGTCCACAGACGCATAGATCTGAAGAATTAGCTGTAAGATCAACTGGATATCTATACAGTTTCATTCTCACTATTGTCTAAGTGTAATAACCTAATGTTTTGACAGGGCTTACATAAATAAAACAGCAGCCAATTTCTTTCTATATATTTTTCAATCTTGAGAAGTTTTTTTTTTTTATCAGATAATGACTATATCACTTTTTAATTTCTACGTTTACAGCAAACCACGTCGACCTTAGGTGATGGTCCCCCTTGTGATCCTCGGCTCTTCTCCCTCAGTCATAATATTCATCATGAATAAATTTGAGTGTATATACTACTAAATGAGAAGAAAAACTCACTCACCTCGACTAAAGTTGAATAAAACCCGGGTTCTGTCTCCCATTCCTGTAGCTGCTGTTCAGCAGGTTTGAGGGTTGCAGCGTCCTGACTTGTTGCCCTCCTCAGGGTGTCTAGCACCAGTTCCTTTCCCCCACTCATAATGCTCTGTGGTTGGTCTTTAGTTCTGGTTTTTAATGCGCGACACTCACTTGTATCCTTTTTTTTTTATATTGATCTTTCTCTCTCTCTCTCTCTTCTCTAGATTCTCAAGCTCACATCATGATGATCCTTTCAATAAGCACTTCACTTTTTCGACACTGGCTGATGTACAAGCTTTGCTATACCCCACAAAACAACGTTGCCAGAGTTGGAACGGCACAAAAACTCGACAGTGATGATTTTCCTGACGTCCTTCACCTTCACAGACACCTCAACCTCCTCCCCCACGTAACAAGGGGATGGAAAGTTCAGCTCTTGCTTAACAACAACTGTTCCTGGGCCTGGTAGTTGTGTGCCTATGACTGAAGAGACCAGGCTGTTGAGGAAGGCACCATGAACCACACAGCGCTCAAACTTGGTGTTTTCTCTCACATAGAGGTCATCTACATGGATGGGGTTGGTGTCACCCGTGAGGTTTCCAAACTGTGTCACGTCCTCCTTTGTTATCCTCTTCGTTAGTGTTGCATTATCACCCACTTTCAGTGCCAAGCATCTTCTGAATCCCTTGATTACATTTCCCACTGAACAATGCACTAAACTACGTGGAACACCAAAAAGCAAAGGCATCGAACTTGCAGATGATTTAGCATGAAAAATGGAATTACTGTTACACTCTCCCTACTCAATAGGTTTTTACATTAAAGTGATGCAATATGCGTATGCCTTAGTTGTGCTGTGTGTCTTGCGAGGCCTTCACACACTGCACTTGCTCTGGAGTGCAATAATCCTCAAGAAAAACCTTTGCTAAGTTTCTGATCCTGGGGTTGTCACTCTCAGCCCTCTGAAGTATCTGCTCAATTACCTTATCAGAGGTGATATCTGTAAACATAGGATACATTAAATAAAATGACAATAATCTACCATTCTGCATTACATCACACATATAAAAAGTTTTGCTTTATATTTCAAGACTGCTATGAAAACAATCATAAGATATCTACCAACAGTATTCAGTCTTTTGACCTCCTTTTCATTTAGTGACAAGGTTGTACAAACAACAAATGAAACAAAAAAACAAAAACAAAAATAATAATTATTAATCTAAATAATGTTCACACTTTTACTCTCTTCTCTCTATACTGACCTCTCTTAGATTCTGGTGTGACAAGGAACTATGGCAGAGAGAACACTGAATGTGAAACAGACAACAGCAACTCAACTCCTCCTTGGCGGAGAATGTAGGCCTTGTTTTCCTGATCTGAAATGAACAGCACATGAGAACCTCAGCATGATGTAAGAAGAAGAAAGTTGAAGAAGAAGAAGAAGAAGAAGAGAAGAAGAAGAAGAAGAAGAAGAAGAAGAAGAAGAAGAAAGAAGAAGAAGAAGAGAAGAGAAGAGAGAGAAGAGAGAGAAGAAGAGAAGAAGAAGAAGAAAGAAGAAGAAGAAGAAGAAGAAGAAGAAGAAGAAGAAGAAGAAGAAGAAGAAGAAGAAGAAGAAGAAGAAGAAGAAGAAGAGAAGAAGGAAGAAGAAGAAGAAGAGGGAGAAAGAAGAAGGAGATAAGAGGAGGAAGAGGAGGAATATGAGAATGAGGAGGAGGAGGAGGAGGGGGAGGAGGAACATGAGAATGAAGAGGAAAAGGCACATGAGGATGAGGTTAAACATAAGAAAGATAAATATAAGGAGGAGGAACAGGAGGAGGAGACAGAGGGAGATGAATGTAGAGGAAGAGGAGGAAAAGGAGGAGAATGGGGAACATGAGGAGGAGGAGGAGAAACATTAAAAAGTGGAGGATGGGTGACATCCTCCTCATGCAACAGCAGCACAATATTTCAACTACCTAGTGCAATACCATGATCTTGGAACATGATTAACTAAAAATAGATTTGCATATGTCTAATATTTATTAACACTAACATCAATTTACACAAAGAAGTTATGACAAATTAGAACACATGATATCATTTTGGCAAACTAATTATAAAAAAGCTAAGCAGAAAGACAGACAGACATAGACAGACAGATACACAGACACACACACACAAACACACACAGACAGACATACCTCGACATACATGTACTTAAATTCTTACCGAGAGCCAAGTTGCACAACCCCGCAGCCGCAAAGTCCCTTAGAGTGGCTGTCCCTTCCGTCAGCTGGTCCAAGAAGATGTCAATCACCTTCAGCTTTCTTAGCCAAGGGTAATTGATTGGGTCGTAGGCAAAGTTCACTAGATTGGCGAGAACTTGTTCTCTGGATGCTAAGAACAAGAGAAAAAAAGATGGTTATAAGTGTGTGTGTGTCTATGAATGTGCACAAATAGTGAATATTCTATGTATATTACATACATATATAGACATACATAAAAAAAAAAAAAAAAAAAAAAAAAAAAAAAATCCATGTACATCAAAGAAACAGAGGTGAAAAAGATGAACAACTTTACCATGTTGTATTTCTTAATAAAAAGCAAGAGTAAGTAAGGAGGAGGAGGAGGGAGGAGGGAGGAGGAAAAGGAGGGAGAAGGAGGGAAAAGGAGGGAGGAGGAAAAGGAGGAGTAGGAGGAGAAGGATAAGAAGAGGGAAAAGGAAGAGTACTGATAGTATAAAGGAAATGACAACAGGGCATAAGGGAAAAACAGAAAACAGAAAAAAGTAGAAACGGCAAAGGAAAACCAATTTCTGGCTGTTACCAAGATGCTCTGAAGTGGTGAACTCGTGTACAAGCTCCTTGAGGTATTCGGGA